ACAAAACCCAGTGATGAATTCACGTCGAATCATAATCGAATGAAGTGAAAGTGTGGAAAGTGTAGTGTTGCGGTTAGTTTTTATTTCTTTTCTTTCTCTCTATTTTTGAAACCTATTTTAAGAAAACAGCCAATCCAGTTTTGTTTGGACCATGGCACGGGTCCAATAATAGTGTAGTTGGGTCAGGTTCGAAAAGAGCTTTCAAACGATATATTATAATCCCAACTCCGATGAATAATGAGGAAGTTATGGCCAAACTACTAAACTAGGCCCGGTTTGATATTTATATGCGGCCCAATGATCTAGAGGAGGGCCTAATATTGATTTATCATTCCTAATGCAATTAGAATTGATTATAGTCTTCTAGATTCTTCTAGAAGGTTCTTTTCATTCCTAATTTAATTAGCATTGATAAATTGACTTTAGTAGACTTTTAAGAGTTTTAATCAGAATAAAAGAAGTGTTTTTAAGGAAAATACGATTTTACCCTCTCGTACGGATAAATTTTATCAGAAGAAGAAAACGCGTGGAAATTTATTTCCAGCATCTCGCGACAGGACCAGCTTCTGGAGACACGCGCGTGTTTGGCGCCGCGGTTGTGTTTTATTCTTTTCGAAACTCTAATTTATTTTTTATCATATCCGGCTGATTTTCTCTATACATAGCCTCCTAAAACCTCCGTTTTCAATCATCCACTCTCTCTAACTCTTTCCATCACCAACTCTTATCAAGAATCTCTTGATTACTCTCTATCTCTCTCTCTCTCTCTCTCTCTCTCTCTCTCTCTCTCTCTCTCTCTCTCTCTTCTAAACTTGCCTTTTGCATACAAAATTCCTTATTCACAAGATCTAGAAACACCTAGCCAAGTTCGAAGTTGCCTTGCCCTAGACGTGAAAGGTTTTAATTTCTGAGGGTTTGGTCTCAAATCTCTCTTTCTATTATTTAATTGCTTTAATTTTTATTATTTTCCTTGAAGTTACTAACGAGTGTATTTTGTTATTAAAAAGATCCAAGTAAGTGATTTAATTGATATTATGATTTAGAAATCATGTCAAGATTGTTATTTTGATTCCTAGTGTTATGTTAGAATGTTTTGATTTTCCTAGTATCATGTTTAGGGTAACAACTATAATTTCTAATATCAAATATGACAATTGTGATTCCTGCGATGCTTCCTATTCTTTTCCTAATATTCATGTTAGGGCTAAATATTTGATTTTTATTGCTTAGTGACATGCTAGGGTTTGTTATTAATCTTGTTAGTATCATGCCTAGGATCTTGCAAATATTATGCTTTAACATGATGAGATGATTATTGATTATGAATGTTATGATTATTACCATGATTATTGTTATGATTTTTATTATTTATGATTGATTATTATGTTGCTTTATATTTATTGTTATTGCTGGATCACACCTTTTATGTATGTTTAAAGGGAATTGGCACTTGTAATCATGCTTAATAAGATAATTAATAATCTTGTTTAGGTTTAATTTGATTATAATTCAAGCGATCGCCAATAATAGATTTGTTTGTGCATTAATATTCAACCAACATAGATTAAACAAGTTTAGGGTAATCCTTTTGATTGCGTGTTAGTCAGAAAGCGCAGATGAATACGATCAGAATAAATTAGAGGACTATTATTAGGGCAGGTTCAATATCTTTTAGGTTGGATTTGTACCTTCATCCCCGAACTACGTACCAGTCATGGTTCCAGACCTATTGGAGTTGACGATCTCTGGATTTTAAGGGGTGTAACTTTCACCTCGTGAACGGTTTACAAGTTCCTAAATCTTGTTGGCGACTCTTTTGCTCTATCTTCTTTCCCTTTGGATGCCACCATGCTTAAGTGTATGATCACAGTGGGATTGAAGTTTGGGGTGATGCTTAAAATATTCCCTACATAAGGCTTTCGCGTGGTGCATCCGACAATTAACCATGGACCCTCTTTGTCTAACCCATATCCCGAACTTTAGAGTACTAGAACCATGGTTAGGTTGAAACTCATTGCATCATATTGTGCCTACTTACCTAATTGTGCATTATTTGTTGTGCATACTTTATGTGTTTTTCCTAACCGTTTGTTGACTTGTGTTTAAGCCTAATTAATGTTATTAATGACTAAAAGGGCTTTGCCTAATTAATTAATTAATTAGAGTATTTTAAGTCAAATTATTTAATCGGAATTGACTTAGTATGACTTTAGGCATGTCCCGTAGAGTTAAAATACTAAAAGCAGTCCCAGATTAATGCTCCAGTAATGGTGCCACGATTTGAGCTGTAGTGCCATGGTCTTACACAAGAGTCAAAGCATGTCACTCGCACCCACATATAAAGCACACACTGAAATGTATATACACTTTGACCATGTCTAAGAGAGTCTTGTATGCGCGTGTTTTCCGTCAATTTTTAGGGGGGTAAGTCGGATTCCCAAAAATATACACCCTATTTGTGCTTTTTCTCTTTCTTTATAAACCCATAAAGTCAAACTCAATTTGAGTCAAGTCATTAAAATAAAAATAGTTTAATTTACAGCACATGGTCAAGAAAGGAAGGGCGTTTGATCAGAGACAACCTTTTCGTTCAAGTACAACTTTTTGACAAACCAATCGCTCGAAAAAAAAAACCAAGAAAATAATGGCGAGTCAAGAAGAAGTTAACGAGCTCAAGAAGCAAATGGCTGGTGTTACTGAACTGTTAAAGACATTAACCCTCCAAATTAATGACCATGTGAAGCAACAACAAATGGACCTTATGCAAGAAAGCTTCAACAAGCTATCTAGTGATTACAAGTTTCAAGGCATTAGTTCACAAGGGGTCTCAGTGGACAAGGAGCTTCTTCCGCAAAAGTCCAATGCCAAAGACATCCCAAAATTAAAGGCAAATTATAACCCGTATTTTCATCTAAGATCTTTTGAAACAATAATGAGTATTAAGGGTATCGATAAAAAAGTATTTCCTTCTCTATTTTCCTTATCTATAGAAACCGTTTGCCAACAATGCTTCTTCTCTCTTGACAAAGAGAAAACCTCTACTTGGGAATCAATAGTAAAAGCTTTCATTGATAGGTATAAGTGTAATATTCAAGTTGAAACTAATCATAGGGAACTTGAGATACTTAAACAGAAAGACAATGAAGGTTTTACTTCTTTCTTCAATAAATGGAGAGAAACCTCTACTAGGATGATTGAAGTACCAAGTGAAAAAGAATCTGTGAGGTTGTTCATCAAGAATCTCCAAGAAAAGTACTCCAAGCATCTGAAATATCAAAACAATCTACACACCTTCAAGGCCGTCTATGATATTGGGATTAACATTGAAGACGACCTTGCTAAACAAAAAGCTGCTAATAATAACTCCAACAGTGGCTGGAAAGGAAAGAAGAACGATAATCCTTCTTCTTCCAAAACCACCACTCAAATAACGTTAGCACCTTTAATTTGAGTGAATTCCTTGCTATGAACAACCAAGGACAAAAGAAACCATTTAGGAGAAACTTTAATCCTATTGGTATGAGTTATGACACCGCATTCGATCGACTAAATGCAAAAGGTCTTATAACTCCTATTGGACCATTTGGGGACCCACCAGTTGAAAAGAGGACAGCTAATTGGAACCCCAATGCGCATTGCAAATATCACCAAGGTATGGGCCATCTCACTGAGAATTGTTGGAAGCTTAAGGAATCTATCTAAGATTTGATTGATAACAATAAACTACCATTGCCCCCTGCCAGTATGAAGCCAAGCATCAATAATGCACCTCTCTATGATTCCTAGGCCATCTTTGATGAGGAAAACGATGTTTATCCCTCATCTCTCATCAAACCTATTGAAGAAATTCATGCTATCGAAGAAGAGGAGGAAATTTTTTTCGATGCCATGGATGACTTTCCAGAACCAGCAACCGAGGAAGATGTGCGAATGCTTATATGGTCTATGTGGGAAGGAATAGACTTACTACGTGAGGCTGTTAAATTTGCAAAGAAACAAGGAGAGGAACTTTAGAAAAAGTACGATAAAGTTCCACCCATGAAAAAGAAAACATTCCATCTCCAAGTAATTGACACACCCAAGAAGAGTAATAAACTTTATACTCCAATTGGGATTACCTATGCTAAAATGTTCAAAATGCTCTCCGAGAATGGTAAGGTCAAACCTCTCAAATCGAGACCATTTAAATCTCTAAAGAGGATAGATAGAATCTACTGTCCATACCATCTATCAGGAGGACATACCATTGAAAACTGTTTTAAATTCAAATATTTAATTTAGAAAATGATTGATGATAATAAGCTAGTTCAAATCCCACAAGAAGAAGACATAAGCATCAATGGGGTTTAGGACAACGATGAAGAAGACGTCTACCTAAAAGACATGGAAAAACCTCCACTTTCAGTGTCGTATTCAATAAGTGATTTTTGGGATGAAAACGATTCACCCGTAGACGTCCTCACAAAATCCGGGAGAACACAACCTCCCGTCTCTACACAACCTAATCCAACCGTGCAGCAAGTTCCCATACCTATTATAGAAGACAATAATATTGTCAAGCAATTCAAAAAGACCAAGGTCGAGATGAACGTATGGAAACTTCTAGCTACATCTCGAGAACATAGGTTGGCAGTAATGAATGCCTTGGATAAGATAGGGATAGATTCCGATACCACTCATAAGGAGTTAGCTAACTTCCTTACGAGTGATCTCCCTAGTCCTATCAACTTGATCACTTTTTCAGATAAAGATTTACCTCCAGAAGGTGACAAGCATTATAAGGCACTAAACCTCACAGTATCTTGCAAGAGAATGAATGTCCCAATGACTCTTAGGGGTGTACAAAAATTGGCCCGGACCTGAAACTGGACCTGAACCGACCTGAACCGGACCGAACCTGACCCGGACCTGTTGATTCAGGTCCGGTCCCGGTTCTTAAAAATCCAAATTCCCGGTCCCGGTCCGGACCCGGTCCAAACCCGGGGTTTTCAGGTCCGGACCTGAAACCCGGGAAAATTGTAATTAAAAAAAAAAAAAAAAAAAAAAAAAGAAAAAAAACAAGAAAATATCTGATTCTCTCAGCCTCCCTCAATCTCTTTCATATTTTTAAGTTCTAACCCTAACTCCCTAAGCCCAAACTGATTCTCTCCGCCTCCCTCAATCTCAACTTCTCAACGCGGCTGTCCGGCTGTCCCAACTCGCTCCGGCCACCGCCCACTGCCGACACCTCCCTCATTCTCTCAGGCAATGCACACCGATAATATCTGGTAAGTATTTGCTTATAATTTTTGTATTTTTAATTCGAAATAATAAATTAAGTGTGAGAATTTATATGTTTATTCTTGTTTCAAATTTTCAATTGCTTTTAATGATTGTTTGATGTTTGCATGTTGAATTTCTTATTTTTAGTTCATCTCTTTCGAATTTCTGTTTTTTTTTTTTTTGGTTTTTTTGAGTTTAGGGTTCATAAGAATTAAGAAGTTTAGGGTTTAGGGTTCAAGTGCGAAATTTAGTTCGAAATTTTGTGTTTATTATGATTATTAAGATTAATTTAGTGCGAAAATTTGTGTGGTAGGGTGGGTTGGGGTGGGGTTATGGTGGGGTTACGGTGGTACGGTTCTGGTGTGTGGGGGTTAAGGGTTAAGGGGTGGCAGTGGGGTGGGGTGAGGTGGGTTGGGGTGGTGAGCTGGGGTTTTTGGGATGGCTGGATGGAAAATTGTGAATGTTGATGGGGTTGTCGGGAGTGGAGATGGGGTTTTCGTGGTGGCTGGTAGGGTCACCGAGAGTGGAGATGGGTTTTCGGGGTGGCTGGGTGGTGTTTTGGATTGGAGGGGGTTTTGGAGTGGTTGAGTGAGGTTATTCCGGCGAGAATGGAATTTGTGGGGTGGATTCCATGGTTGGAGTGTCAGGGAAGGCGGCTAGGGGTGGGGCTGCCAATGAAGCTGGTTGTGTTATGTTGTGTGGGCAATGGTGGATCTGGGTAGGGTAAGGGTTAGGGATGGGGCTGTTTTAATTTTGCTACGTTGTTAGGTGTTCTCATCTAAAGATGAAAACTCGGGGGTTAAGAAATGGCTAGATGGGTATTGTTTATGATAGAAAATGTGTATTCAATTACCTTGAGCCCCTCTGCAGTACAATCAGAGACTTGCCAACCGTGATCTAGTGTTGAGAAAGTCCATGCACCTTTACAAATATGTCTATACATCTCCTTGAAATTTCCTGATGGATTCTCCTTAACCTGTTGCAATAGATCATAATAAACATTATTAGTTCAAATAATTTAAACTAATTTATAAGGTATGAATTCAAGGAGAATTGGACAAGAAACTCTAATTACATTTGAAAAACTTGTATGAAATACTTAAACCCTCTTCACTGTCGTTTTTTTTTTTTTTTTTTTTTTTTTGAAACCTTTTAAATGGAAGTTAAAGGTTTATAATGTTCTCTCATTTTTTTCTTAACATAAATTTCAGAAAGTTGAAAGTATTTCTAATGTGTATTGATATTTCTAATGTGTATATATGGACACTTTTTAAGCTAACTTATACTTTAAAATTTGTGTTTATTCCTGCTAGGCTGCTAAAAGTATGGACTCAGATTATTAAGATTAAATAAGTTGGCTAACCTGTGTGTAGTTCAGGGGTTCTTATTTTTGTTTTTATTCTTGCAGGGAGTGAAGGAAGTCAAGGAACCACGGATTCTTATTCTTACAATGTAAGTTGCTCTTAAATTTTTGTATAAAATGGTATGTGTATATAATTGTTACTTTAAAATTACTTATATTGTATATAATTATATTGTAGATGGAGAGCTCTCAATCCAAACGGTCTGCTTCTTTTTCTGAACAAACGTCACAGCCACTTTCTGAAAAGGATATGGAAGAATTGCAATCTACTTTGCCTCCTGATAAGAAGCTAAAAGCGGGGCGGGAATATATATGGAACAGAAAAAGTAAGAGGAAAGCTGAGTATTGGAAATATTACTTAGAGTACGTCGAGAATGGAAAACTACGAGCTGAATGTAAGTTCTGTCCTAAAACTTTTGCTGCTGATGGTAATCTTAATGGTTCAAAAAATGTTAAAAACCATGCAGAATCATGTCTCGGTAATCCTATTAATATAGAAAAAGAAAAGGGCAAAGAAAAGCAAACTAAATTGTATTTTGATCAAGAACATGAGAGTAGTGAATTAAAGTGTGGGAGTAGGATTATTAACTTGAATGATGTTAGAGAGGCATTGATTCACATGATTATTGTTGATGAGTTACCATTTAAGCATGTGGAAAAACCCGGTTTTAGGCACTTTGTGCAAGTTGCATGTCCACAATTTTACATTCCATCTCGTGTTACCATTGCTCGTGATTGTTTAAAGTTGTATTATAGTGAAAAAGAGAAATTGAGAGAAATGTTTAAGACATGTCAAAGAATTTCTGTGACCACTGATACTTGGTCTTCAATACAAAGAATTAATTATATGTGTCTTACAGCTCATTTCATTGATAATGACTGGAAATTGAATAAAAAGATCATAAATTTTTGTCCAATTTCTAGTCATAAAGGAGAGGCTATTGGAAAAGCAGTTGAGGCATGTTTAGAGTATTGGCGTATTGATGATAAACTTTTTACTATCACTGTTGATAATGCTTCTTCAAATGATGTTGCTTGTGCACACTTGAGTAGAATGGTTAGAAGAACAGGATGTATAAATGATGGAAAAAATCTTCATGTTAGATGCATTGCTCATATCATTAATTTAATTGTGTGGGATGGTATTAGAGAACATGGTGTGTGCATTGATAGAGTTAGAAATGCTGTGAAATATGTTAAGAATTCACCTGCAAGAATACTTAGATTCAAAGATCTTGTGCAAAAAGCAAACATAGATTCAAAATCTTCTTTATCCTTTGATGTCCCCACTCGTTGGAACTCCACATACATAATGTTGGAAACGACTTTGAAGTTTCGACGTGTTTTTAGTGGGTTATCTCTTCCTGATGGAGAGGATTTGAATGACAATGAAAGGCCTCCCGAACCCGAAGATTGGGAAAAAGTGGAGAGGTTGGTTTTGTTTCTAGGGGGGTTTTATCTGTTAACTAAACGAATTTCTGATTCCCATTATGTGACAGCTAATAAAGGTTTATGAGAAATTGCTTCTATGTATGATATGTTGAATAATTGGGAACAAAGTGAGGACTTGAATTTTCAAGCCATGGCCATTGCAATGAAAAAAAAGTTTGATAAGTATTGGGGGGATGTGGATAAGATGAACAAGTTCATTTATGTTGCTCTTCTTCTCGACCCTCACTCTAAGATGGTCATTGTTGAATTGACACTAACGGATATGCATGGACCGGAAAAGGGTACAAAACTTGCTAATGATGTGAAGGAGTTCGCTTACTCTTTATTTGAGGAATATAGAAAAATTTATGCTACTTCTAATATTCCAGATTGTGGAGATAATATGTCAATGGATATTGGTAATAGTAAAGGAGTGGGTTCCGATTATGTGAGGAAACTAAAAGAAAGAGCAAAATGATTGAAGGGGACAAGTGGGTATGCGATAAGTGAGTTGGATAGGTACTTAAATGATCAATTAGGGTCGGAGGAGGAAGAACAAGATGCATTGACATGGTGGGGTAAGAATGGTCAGCGTTATGTGATTCTTAATCGCATGGCACGTGACATACTAGCCATCCCATTGTCGACCGTTGCATCGGAATCTTCTTTTAGTACGGGAGGTCGTACTCTAGATCCATTTCGGAGTTCTTTAACTCCTAAGGTAATGCATCGTTATCTTTTTATTTTATAAAATCAAGTTTGTTTATATCTTAATATGACTTTGTTTATACATATTTGTGTAATATTTTTGTATTGAAGATGGTTCAAGCGTTACTTTGCACACAAGATTGGCTTAGAGCTAAGGAAGTGGCAATTGTTGATGTGGAAGAAAATTTGAAAGAGTTAGAGGAAATAGAGAAAGGTAGTAATAATTTTATGTATTTGAAATTTTGTTACACCAAATTTATTATTTCATTGTTATCAATCATTAATATATTCTATATTGTATTTTATTTAGAGGTGCAACGTGGTGAATCTAACGATGTAGACGATGAAGTTGTTTTCGTGGACTCATTAGTGTGAATCACGCGATCAAAGGGAAAACAACTCGTTGGAGAATTTATGTATTCCTAGTACTTGAGAGTTGAGACTTAAGAGAATTTATGTAATTTTATGAGTTTTCGTGGACTTATTTGTATTTTCGGTGGACTCATTTGTATTTTTGGTGTTTGAGAATCGGGACTTTATAGACTTTATGTAGTTTTGTAATTGATAATTTTGGTTTGTATGTAATTATTAAATTATGCAACAGGTCTAAAAATCACAAAACAGGTCCATATGCAGGTCCATATGCAGGTCCAACAGGTTTTGTATTAAAAAAAAAAAACGAAAAAGACACAAAACAGGTCCATTCAGGTCCAAACCCGGACCGGACCTGATTTTTCAGGTCTGGCCCGGAACCGGACCTGTTAATTCAGGTCCGGTCCCCGGTCCTCATAATTACCCAATTCAGGTCCCCGGTCCAAACAGGTCCGATCCAGGTCCGGTCCGGTTTTGGACCGGTGTACACCCCTAATGACTCTTGTAGACAATGGATCGCCAATTAATGTCTGTCCACTCAAAAATTCAAGGATGTTAGGAATAGTGGATGAAGATTTAACCCCGTCAACACAAGGAATAAGAGCTTATGACAATACTCGTCGCCAAGCTCTTAGTAAAATTACTATACATGTCACGGTAGGAGCAATAGAACATGCCACTACCTTCCAAGTGGTAGATATTAAAGCTTCATTCAATTTATTGTTGGGACGCCCTTGGCTTCATGACCTCAAGGCCGTCCCTTCATCTCTTCACCAACAGGTAAAACCCGTAGTTGGAGGAATCCTCATCACAATTGACGCTTCACCTATGAGGATTAAAGCTGTTGAAAATCCGATCATTAACGTGGAGCACGATGAAGATGATGAAGACTTTTTGGGCTTTGATGAAGAGGTCTCCTTAATCGAGGAGGATGAAAGGAACCCTCTCTGTCCCGACCCCTACTCCAATATGACAGTAAATGCTATTCTTAAAAGACAAGGGCACTTTCCTGGAATGACTCTAGGAAAGAAAAAGGAAATAGCAACACAACTAGAATTACCTGGCCTCCCTATGTTGGATACTTTCGGACTTGGTTTTGAACCGACTCGGGATGATATTAAGCGACCCCAAGAAAGGTCTAAGGCGCGCAGGAACGCTCGCACCCAAAAGAAGGCAATCCCAATGGACCAGTGTCCTCTTACTCTCAATGGGGAGTTCATAAGAGAAGGAGAAGACTATCCATGCTATGAATTTCCCGAACCCTTTGTTGTAAATGGCATAAGGCAACCGGGGTTCGAAATCTTTTTGGATTGCCACTTTCTAGATGAGATCCCAACTCCTATTCACATGGAAAAAGCACCCCCATGCTTTGACTTTAACGTCATAGGATTACTATTTAGGCGAGAAAAAGACGAGCCGAAATATATGGAGGATAACTCCTCACTCATCCAAACGGTCCTACAGAGCGAGAACTTTGACCTTTCAAAGCTCATCACACCAACGGAAGGATTAGTACAAGGATGGTGTAAGACGGTTAAGGTGACTACTCAAAGTGCAAGGAAAATCTCCATAGCAACAGGGAAAAGAACAATGTTCAAAGAGTTGTCTGAGTCTGAGTCAGAGTAAAAGTATTTTCCTGTAGAATTTTCCAAGTCTTTAGCCGTAGCACCCACTATTTATTCTATTTCTACTCTTAGGATAGTTATTAATCATATCCCTGAGGACATCTCCCTTTTCGATGTAATGATTTCAGAATTCAATAATATGTCTACTTCTGCTTACTCCTCGTGTTTTTCATTAACCCAAGATGACGAGCATTGCTTAACTAACAATGAAAATGTCAAAGAAATTATTAAATCAATGGAAAAACTTGAGAAGAAAACACTGATAATTGAGGAAATTAAGACGGTTGATATCTCAAATGATTCAACCATTAAAAGAGAAGTTAAAATTGGATTAACACTTAATGAACAAGAAAGAACCGATTTAATTAATCTACTCAAAGAATTTATTGATGTATTTACTTGGTTATATGAAGATATTCCACGCATTAATAGAGAAATAGCTCAACACACTATACCACTAATTCCAGGAATGAAACTTGTAAAACAGAAGTTGCTTCGAATGAAACCCGACGTAGCTCTTAAAATAAAAGAAGAAGTTCAAAAACAAATAACTGCAGGTTTTATCAGGGTAACGAAATACCCCAATGGGTAGCTAACGTGGTCCCAGTTCCAAATAAGGATGGAAGGGTAAGAATGTGTGTCGACTATCGAGACTTAAATAAGGCAAGCCCAAAGGACGACTTCCCTTTACCACAGATCGATATTTTGGTAGATAATACATTAAATCATGCACTTCTCTCGTTTATGGATGGATACGCTGGATACAATCAAATTCTCATGGTAGAAGAAGACATGGAGAAAACAACATTCATAACACTATGGGGTACTTACTGTTACAGGGAATGCCATTCGGGTTGAAAAACACGGGTGCTACTTACCAACGAGCAGCGACTGCCTTATTCCATGGCATGATGCACAAAGAGGTTAAGGTATATGTGGACGACATGATTGTGAAGTCAAAAGATCGCCGAGGACACCAAATAGCCTTGAGAAAATTCTTCGAAAGGCTACGAAAATACAACATGAGGTTGAATCCATCCAAGTGTGCTTTTGGAGTCACCTTAGGCAAGATCTTGGGATATGTTATAAGCTCTAGAGGAATAGAGATGGACCCAACTAAGATCAAGGCAATCATGTTAATGCCACCGCCTAAAACCGAGAAACAAATTCAAAGGTTTATTGGCCGGTTGCAGTATGTAAGTAGGTTCATATCGAAGCTAACAACGATATGCAAACCAATATAAAAGAAACTCAAAAAGAATGTGCAAGTAATATGGGATGAAGAGTGTAAAAGCCTTTCAAAAGATCAAAGTCTATCTTTCAAATCCTCCCGTATTAGCACCATCACTTCTAGGGATCCCTCTTAGGCTGTACCTAACAGTCACCAAGGAGACAATGGGGGCTATGCTTGCGTAAGAAGTATAAGGTACAGAAAATGCAATCTACTATCTAAGCAAAAAGATGCTCGAATATGAAGTACGCTATACACCGCTTGAGAAATTGTGCCTCGCATGGTGTGGGCCACAACCAAGATAAGACATTACATGCTCGTGCATACAGTCTTTGTAGTTTCTCAAATGGGTCCACTTAAGTATCTATGCGAGAAGTCTACACTCAATGGGATTCATGCCTCTAAAGGCAATCAAAGGATATGTGGTCTCTGATTTCCTAGCGGATTTTCCAATAGAAGATTCGATGCCGATACATGACAATGAATTTCCAGACGAAGACTTGATGGTCACAGAAGATGATACTTGGACTTTATACTTCGATGGAGCCTCAAATCAAAAGGGATGTGGAGTTGGAGTATTATTAGTATCACTTAAAGAGAGCACGTTCCAATCTCCATAAAGCTAGATTTCGACGTTACCAATAACGCTGCTGAATACGAAGCATGCGTGGTAGGCCTTGAAACAGCTTTGGTAAGAAATTACGAATATTCGGAGACTCTTCATTAATCATCAACCAGATTTCTAAAAGATGGAAAGTAAGGAGTGAAAGTCTAGCCCCTTACCAAGCTTATCTAGAAACTCTCACCAATCAGTTGGAAAAGGTAGAATACACTTATCTACCTAGAGAGGAAAACCAAATTGCTGATGCTTTGGAAAGACTAGCCTTAATGGTTAGGATTCCTACAGAAATCGAGCAAATGCCTCTAACCATAGAGAAAAGGCACAAGCCGGCTTATATTCAAGCCATAGAAGACGATGAAGTGATCCAAGATGAAGAAGAAGAAGAAGAAGAAGAAGAATTGTGGTATACGAATATACTTAATTATGTCACCAAAGGATAATATCCTCCTCATGCTGACAAAAGAGCAAAACGAGCATTAAGACTCTTCGCTTCCCAATACGTACTCATAGACAACGAGTTACATAAAAGGGTGCCTAAGGGTCGAGCTCTCTTATGTGTAGGGAAAAAGGATGCCCAAAGAGCTATGAGGATAGTCCATAAAGGCATTTGTGGAACTTATGTTAACGGCAAAATGCTAGTCCAAAAGATAATGCGAGAAGGGTACTATTGGATACCATGAATAGGGATTGTCATCAATATGTAAAAAGATGCCCTAAATGGCAAGTTTATGCTAATTTACAACATGTTCCTCCATCTCTACTTTATACCTACACTTTACCATGGTCATTCTCTACATGGGGAATTGATATCATTGATAAAATTACCCCTCCTGGGATAGGAGGTCACGAATACATCCTAGTAGCAATTGATTACTTTACAAAGTGGATTGAAGCACAATCATATGCTAAACTCACTGCAAAACATATAGCACTCTTTATCGAAAGAAATATCATTAGTTGATACGGAGTCCCACATGAGATGCTAAGTGACAAAGCAACTTACTTTCAAGCTGAATGTGAAGAATTGCTACAAAAATATGGCATTCAACACCATCATTCTTCCCCTTATAGACATCAAGAAAATGGAGCAGTTGAGGCAGCTAATAAAAATATAAAGACAATCATTGAGAAAATGATAGAAAATTACAAGAATTTTCCTGACAAACTTCATTTAACACTTTGGGGTTATCGCATGTCAATTCGCACATCAACAGGAAATACGCCATTCTCCTTACTTTATGGAATGGATGTCGTACAACCTGTAGAGCTAGAGATACCATCTCTACGCATTGCATTAGAAAGTAAACTTGATGAAGTCGAATGGACTAGAGCAAGGTATGAAGAGCTAATTCTACATGAAGAAAAGCGACTAGAAGCTCTACATCATACCCAATGTTATCAAACCCGTATGGCTAGACATTTTAATAAAAAGCTCAAGACGAGAAACATCAAAGTAGGAGACTTGGTGTTAAAAGCATTAAGGAAAAATGTTTTGGATCCAAGAGGCAAATTTTGGCCTAATGGTCTGGACCATATATTGTCAAACAATCCTATCAGGAGGTGCAGCAAAACTAACTGACATGGATGGCTATGGGTTCTCAAACATAACGAATCTTGACCAACTTAAAAAGTACTACCCATAATTACTTGAGTAGGACACTCAAGAGAGCT